CACTAATTGACTGGAATCACGTGTCCCGTGTAAATCGCTAATGGGCAGGATTAGCATCTGGTGCAGAGATGAAAACCTCATTCAGCAGTGGGAGTGGAGGGGCCTTTTTTAACCCCAAATGGCTCAAGAATTTGGTGGGGGGGGGGAGGCGGTCGTCAGCCTGCTACCTTCCAGGTAGTAATGTCAGAAGGTGGAATACAGAGAGATCCTGGACATAGAGATCAGTGTCTAGAGCAGCCCCACAAAAACAGGCTTATCTAGGCAGCGGTCGGAGATAAAGAGATGGGTGTAATGGAATTAGGAATATGGGTCACTTGGCCTCCCCATCTGTAATGGCTCCCAACCCCAATGGGTCACAGCAGATGTCCTTATTTATTTATTTTACATTCTAGAAGAAAAACTAGGAATGCCTGGAAGAAAAGCTTTGGAATTGTCATGGAGGAGAAAGACCAGTAGGAACTCTCATTGTTGGATGTGGGTAGTCCTGTTTTCTTCCAGGCAGATCCTCAGAAAGTTACTCAGGATCATGGCAAACTGGGTTAACATCCATGAATAACAGTTGCAAGAATTGAGTATGTCTAGTTAAATGAAAAGACTAGGAGTGACAGGATAGCAGTCTTCCAATATCTAGGGGGCTACTCCAAGAGAAGAGAGAGTCAATTTACTCTCCAAAGCACCTGAGGGCAGGACAAGAAGCAACGGGTGGAAACTAATCAAGGAGAGAAGCAACTTAGAACTAAGGAGAAATTTCCTGACAGTGAGAACAATTAATCAGTGGAACAACTTGCCTCTAGAAGTTATGGGTGCTCCAATACTGGAGGCTTTCAAGAAGAGATTGGACAGCCATTTGTCTGAAATGGTATAGGCTTTCCTGCTTGAGCTGGTGGCTGGACTAGAAGACCTCCAAAGACCCATCCAACTCTGTTGCTTTGTTTCATGGTATGTGTGTCAGGATTCCAGCAATTGCCCTCATGAAACCATGAGCCTCGAACCAAGCTTCAAAAACTTCAAAAGATTTAGTAGGAGTGAACATGTCGGCACGACCTGAATGAAGCCGATTCTGAGTCATGCAATTCACTGTCTGAAAGACCTTGGGAAACAAGTCAAAGAGACATAGCCAAGGTGATGGTCAGGTATGAGAAAGTATTATCCACTTTTGAGAATGGTTGGGACAAGAGGTTTGGAAGACACCCTCCCTAGTTTCTTTGGTGGTAAGGGAGATTTTGAGGGGTGGGGGAGAATTGTACTTTCAGTCCAGCAAGATTATTGTCAGCACTACAAAGTAGACCAGAACAATGAAGTAGTCCTACTTTATTGTAAAGCAACACTGACACAGTCTTGCAAGTCTAGAAGTCCAATTCCACCACTGCCCTTTAGCCTTTCTGAGAAACTAGGGAAGGTCTTTTCTGAGCCCCACCCATTACGCAGCTGTGGATTATGGTGCCTCTTATCCCACTCTTCCTCTGGCACCACGTCTATTTCCAAATCTTTCTCGACTGTCATTGCATCTTGTTCTGCAGTTCTAGGTTGACTTGTTCCATAAATATTACATTACACCTCTGTGGGAAACCGCTGTTATCTTATTTTGTATTATATTTATTTTAATGTAACATAGATATCTGCATTATCCCAAGATAGAATATTGCTGAGTGGGTTGCGTTTGCACTCCTAAATGATTCATAGCCCTGGGAACTATAGAAAATGTTCAGGGGCGACAGAGCAATAACAGGCACACGAAAAGAAGTAGGAATATTACGGAGCTCCTGTTAATGCTGGCTGGGGGAATTCTGGGAGTTGAAACCCACACATCTTAGCACTGTCAATTAGCGCTATCATTTAGATTCAGATAGGTAGGCAGGCAGGCAGGCAGGCAGATTAATCAATTAACAGAATACAGAGTTGGAAGGGACCTTGGAGGTCTTCTAGTCCAACCCCCTGCTCAAGCAGGGGGTTGCCCATCCAATTTCTTCTTAAAATGTAAGAGATTTGGATGACAGAAGTAGATGAGAGGGAAGTGGTGAATGGATGAAGAGAGCCAGGCAGGCAGGCAGGCAGACAGATGAAAGAGATATGGATGACAAAAATAGATGAGAAAGGAGGGATAAATAGATAAATAGAGACAGGCAGACAGATGAAAGAGATATGGATGATAGAAATAGATGAGAAAGGAGGGATGAATAGATAGAGACAAGCAGACAGATGAAAGAGATATGGATGACAGAAATAGATGAAAGAGGAGATGAATGGACGAATAGAGATAGATAGACAGACAGACAGATAGCACTTAGCACTTACACACCGCTTCATAGTGCTTTTACATCCCTCTGTAAGCGATTTCACAGAATCAGCCAATTGCCCCCAACAATCTGAGTTCTCATTTTACCGACCTCAGAAGGATGGGAGGCTGAATCAGGATCAAACCCTTGGCAGTGAGCACAGTTAGTCTTCGTGATTGCATCCTAACCACTGTGCCACCACCGCTCTTAAATTATTAATTAAGCAAATAACTAGAGCCATTAAGTGTATTGTGCAGTTGTTAAATGAATCATGCAGTTGTTAAGTGAATTCAGCTTCCTCCATGGATTTTGCTTGCCATCTGGGTGTGGGAAGGTCACAAATGATGATCATACGATCCTGGTGTGCTCCAACTTTTATAAATACCAAGTACCCGAATTTTGATCACGTTGACTGCAGGGACCTGCCGTAAGTCCCCTTTTTTCAGTGCCGTTGTAACTTCGAACATTTGCTAAATTAATGGTTGCAATTCAAGGGCTTACCTGTATATGATCTGATGCACTTCATGAATCCAGAAGCTGGTTTAATTCAGTGTATGAATTGCATACTGCCTGCATAGAGGCTGGTTCTCCTGAGTTAGAATGGTTTGACAAATGGCAGGAAATACGCTTTTTCTTGTTCATTTCAGAAAGCCCATGTTTTGCAGAACAAGAGATATCTCTCAAGGATCAGGTAGTCCTGGGTGGGAAATGTGTAGGCCACATGTCTCAACCTTGTCAACTCCTAGAATTCTCCAGCCAACAAGCCGAGATGGATTCCATAAGAAGTTGGCTGAGGAATTCTGGGTGTTGAAATCCAGATGTCTTAAATATAATTATTTATTGGCCAAGTGTGATTGTGGGTGTGGCTTAGTGGTCATGTGACTGGTTGGGCGTGGCTTGTATGTAAATATTATAAATATTTATATAAATATTGAATTTTTTTTTATAAAAAAAGAGCAACTTTTACCCAAAATCAAGCAAAGCAGGCAGGCAGATTGATTTACTCACAGAATCACAGATTCATTCAAAAATCTATCTAGCTCAGTCTGTCACATAAAATTTGCTTGCAAGCAAACTCACAAAATTAACTCACAACACACCATGTATGTAAATATTGAAATTTTTATTTAAAAAAGAGCAACTTTTACCCAAAATCACGCAAAGCAGGCAGGCAGATTGAGTTGCTCACAGAATCACAGATTCATTCAGAGATCTATCTATCTGCCATTGGCTAGCTCAGTCTGTCACATAAAATTTGCTTGCGGTGAGTCTGCACTGAATAATAGAAACTTCACTCCTAAGGGAGATTCGGCTGTGCTTAAAAGCAGATCTGAAGATCTAAAGACTAGCTAGAAAGCAAGAAATCCAACTATTTCCTGCTTTCTAGCTAATCTAAATCTGCTGGCATGGCAGAACAGACGATGGTCGGAAAAAGGAAAAATAGCAATTTAGCAGGCAAGTTTGCCAGGTAAGGAGTGAGTGGGCAGGGAGCGTTCCCAGGGGCCATGTGGGCTGAGCAGCCTTGTGTTTCTGCGCAGCCTGGATTAATTGCTTTGGGTGGGGCTCTGGGGGTGAGATTTCTCTGCGGCCCACCAAAATTTTCTCATGGACCACCAGTGGGCCATGGCCCATCGATTGGCAACCACTGCTCTATACCATTGCAGACCAACAGTTGTCCAATCTTTTCTTTAAAATCTCCAGTGTTGGTGTACCCACAACAAGTCACTATTTTCCCCCCAAAACCGGGGTCATAACAGGGTCTTTAATGGGCCAGATTCCTACTTAAATATATAGAGGTTCTGGTCCACTTGAGTGTATCTAGGGGTGGGATTCAAATTTTTTAACAACCAGTTCTGTTGGGCATGGCTTGGTGGTCATTTTATTGGCTGGGTGTGGCCAACTCAATATCACTCACATCAAGACAAACATCTCCTCGCCTGGCCTCTCATGACTGTGAGGATGCTGCAACAGTCGTAAGTGTGAAAAATTGTCATAAGTCCCTTTTTTCAGTGCCATTGTAACTTTGAATGGTCACTCCACACAAGCAAAGTACCAGCAAAGGAGGGGAAAAAACTCCAGAGAAGTTCCTGAGACAGGAAATCTAGTCCTGCCAATAATACAATAAGGGTTAATAGAGAGGCAGTTTCTGGAAGCAACACCAGAATGTTTCCTTCCTGCCTTCCTTATAGGATTAGGCCAGTAATTTCTTCTAACAACCGATTCTCCGAATTGCTTAGAATGTTAACAATCGGTTCTAGCGAATAGGCGCGAACTGGTAGAATCCCACCCCTGAGTGTATCTGGCCCTGGTCCTTTGTGGCTTTCTTTGGTAGGTTACACCTTAGTAGCCTTGCCGTTGTCACTTGCCTCTTGGCTGAATCCTCTTGGATTCTCTTAATCCTGGTTGGATCCTGGCTGGATACGGAAGCCCGATGGACAACATGTGATTGTTGGTGGTACATCTCCTGATCTTCTTGTTCTATATGTGAAGGAGCCTGATCCAAGCAGGATTAAGATCTTTATTTTCAGGATCTTCTTGATCCAACCCACCAACGGTCTCCATCTGTCCACCTCACACATTTAGGCCACTTCTCTTCATGAACTTCGCTCTTCTTCCTGACCCCATCTCATGTCCCCAGTAATAGTAATTGTTATTGACCAACCCAACTCCATTCCTTTCATTTTGTGGGAAGTCCCATCTTTCTCTTTGTTTCCTGCCCTACAGACCAAGCCTGCTCTTCATTACAAGGTTGCCATGATTATCAACTACCTGGGGCACTGCATTTCTATTGGAGCGCTTATCGTGGCCTTCTTATTGTTCCTCTGCTTGCGGTGAGTAATCCTTTTTTCATCCAGCTTTGTCAATGACTTGGTTGAGCAAGAGACATTGGAGGTGATGGGAAACAGCCAAATGAAATGAGGGTTGCAGATAGCGGTGGAAGGATGTTCTTCTCCCCAGATGGATGGATGGATGGATGGGCAGGCAGAAGGATGGACAGACAGTGGTGGATGGATGGACAGAAGGATGGAGGGAGGGAGGGATAGACAGAAGGATGGATGATGGATGAATGATAGGGATGGATAAAGGGATGGAGGGATGTGCAGAATGGAATGGATGGATGAATAGATGGATGGATGGATGGATGAAGGGATGGATGGATAGAAGGATAGAAGGGTGGACAGAAGAGTGGAGGGATGGATAGAGGGATGGAAGGATGGGTGGATGGATGGACAGATAGCTAGCTCTTGCAAGGCATTAATGGATGGATCCTCCTGCAGATAGTTGGGTGGAGAAATTGGGCCAGTCTTGTTGGTGATTTTTGGTGCGTGTGGATTGAAAATGGATTTTAATAGAAAATTAATAATATTTTTAGACCCAAGTGCACATTACATTATTTTGTAAGTTATATATTTATTTTCATGTACTGCTTTATGAGATCAGTAGTTTTATCAATCGTTTAAATAAATAAATCAAATAAATAAGCATTTATTTTTAGGTTAATGACTTCTGCAGCGGTAGAGCTGCAATAAGAGCCATTTTGACCTAGGGATTAATACTTCAGGCCAGAGACAGGGTTAGAACATGGGTTCTAGAACTGTTTTAAGTATGAAAGCCGGCTGGGTGACTTTGAGCCAATCACCAGGGGGATGGTGAGTTCTACTCTCATTTTAGGCATGAAGATTGGCTTGGGTGACTTTGAGCCAATCCCTCTCCCTCAACTAAATCCTACTTTGCAGGATTGTTGTTGTGTAGTAAATAGGAAGATGAAGAAGTATTAGTCGCCATGGGCGAATAGGCGGCAATAACAAATAAATAAACAAATAACAAAAAAACCACAAATAAATAATAAGGGGTGTTTGCAGTTGGCTTCTGTAAGGCATAACTGTCATTCAGCCAGCTTTCATATCTAAAATGGGAGTAGAACTCATATTCTTCTAGTTTCTTTCCTGGTGCCTTAATCTGTAGAGTCTTCCTTCCTTCCTTCCTTTTTCCCTTTCTTCCCTCTTTCCTTCCTTCCATTTAATGGGGGAAAAAAAACCCCGTGACAAAATTCAGAGAGAAAAAATCTTATTTCAGGCCCTGGGACAATGAGAACCTGATCATCCCATATTTTGCAAAGAAATCCTTAGTTAAGGTAGCAATGACAGAAGCAGCTGTTAAGCATAAAAATAGAACAACACCCTTGTAGAGGAGGCCACCGTAGCTTTGGCTACATTCCCATTCTCAGAGAAAGGAAGTTGTCGGCATCTTGACATTTTTCACCTTCCATTTTGATTGCTGAGATATTTTTACAGACTTGCAGCCGCCGCAAATGGTGAGGTATTTTTCGTCTTTTCCTCTTTTTGTACCTGAAATGATTTGAAGTGCTGGGGTCGTCCCCCCACACACCTTTGGCCACCTAAGAACCAGATAGTGAATTTGGAGAGAGCCAGCTAAATGTATTTCTGTCCTTAAAATCACGTTCTTTTGCTACGTGTGGGCAGATCAACACCATATAATCAAGCACTTTCATGTAGCCAGGACAGAAGACAGAATTACAGTAATAACCTGAGTCTGTTTGGAAAGGTTTATTTTAGAAAAGGGGGGGAGGAAGAAGCAAGAATTTGGGACCGACTTGCTATTTTTGCTACTGAGTTTGCCTGGAAATGGGATATTGAAAGGCCATGTTGACTACAATTAAACATTTGTCAGCCATGAACGAATAAAAGCAAAATTTGTCAATGGACATACCCCTAATTAAGGTTAAGGTTAGAAACGTGCTGGGCTGCTTAATGGGCTAAGGAGCAGAATCCAATGACAACATGAGCAACTTCTGTAAAGCAAAAACTTCCAGGGAATTTTAGAGGCTAAAATGTTATTGGAAGAGAAGAGAAAAATATTTATCTGGCAAGATCTCTCAGGTGAGAGAGAAATTCTGAACAGCTAAAGCAGAACAAATTTTAAAAAAATCAAAAGTTTTGGGAAGAACTGTGGGGGTTATCTGCTGCATTTATTAATGATTTTTAATTATATTTTATTCCTCTTTTATTGCTTTAATACAATAGCTCCCAACAATGTGAAAAACAGTGAGCATACCTAATATTCATTTTTCCTCTTAGTTTCACAACAACTCTGTAAGGAAGGCTGGTCTGGTCTGAGAGAGATAGAGGGAGAATGACTGATTCAGCCAGCTTTCATATGAAAGGCAAGACTAGAACTCACCATCTCCTGGTGATTGGCCAAAAGTCATCCAGAT